TCATCAGGTCCTTTGCAAGGGAGGGATTGTGGACTGTTGCTTCCTGGCCACTTCCCCACCTACATCCACTTCCAGCCCAGTGGAAAGGGCCTGCTTGATTTCTCATGAGCCACTGAACATGCGGATGTTCTGAGCTGTGATTGCTTACCGGCCAGCACTGTATTCGCTAGCCATGAGGAAGCTCCTCATGTCCCCAGTGAGATTTGTCATGGGAACCATCCCATTTATAACGAGCTGTACAAGGGGGTTGCTGCTCTGTCCCGTAGCCATCCCTTCTGTTTTCTTCCCCTTTGATCTCTGCCAATAGCTGTTTGGCCAGATGACCTAATTCCACTGGGTTGTAAACAGGAGCAGCAGCCCCTGCTGTTTCTCTTGCTAATGGCTGAACCGTTCAGCCTTAAAACCCCTCCAGTATTCCTCGTCATCACTCCATCACAAATCCACACTGCCTAGGCCCCGCCTCGTGCCCGCCTCTCCCCAACCCGAGAATGGGTTTCCATGGGAACTCAAACTCCAACACTCAAGGGTAAGAGACCATTTTCGTGCTTGCTGGACAGCCTGGGAAATTGCCAATCAGAGGGTGAAAAAGAAGAGCTGGCAAGAAGGTGGAGAAAAGGGGGGCCTGCGTGGCTGACTCAGAAAGACAGCGAGGGACCTGTGCGTGACTTGCAATAGATGCATAGGCCAGGACAGTAATGTAGCAGCCTCTATGCTTCAGATCTAGGGGGCTCTTCTCCCAGTGCAGGATGCCAGGGATTCCTGGTAGCTTGGCTAGCGGCAGAACTGGGGGTGTGCATGCTACCTGCACTCAGCCAGTGATGGTCAGCTTCAAAGTGGCTGCTGAGTGATGCCCCCATAATAGGAAGGGACCAGGAACTAGATGAGGTATCCAAAGGACGAGCTGCAGTTTTTAGGAGGAAAATACAATCAAGATCATTAGCTGAGTGGTTGGGGGAGATGAGAGATTTGCTTTAATGACTAAACTTTGTTTTTAATTAAAGGGATGGCATCAGCATAAAAATCCTTCACATTTTAAACTTGCTATTAACAGAAAAAGATTAAAGTGAAAAAATAATGTATTTCTCTCTTATCCCCCCAGTTTGTGTATTAGACACCACCAAGTGAAAATGACACTGTAAACATTTCCTAGTATCATTCTTTTTTCAGAACATTTTTCGGAAAAAATGTGATACTGAAACCACAAGGAAATATGCAGGGGATTCAGGGATCTGGGAGAGAACCTGAAATGACATGCAATTGATTTTTAAAACTGACACATTTTCAAATTGATGATGTTCCCCTTTGAAATATACCCCATGAAAGTTCGCAGCCTTCTCGTTCCAAAGAAATATTACTTTATCCGGACGCAGTCTCGCAGTGACAACTGCAACCAAGAGACATTCATATTAAAATATGGGAAAGGCCCAAAATGGAACAGTTTATCTGAAATCCCTCCTCCTCTTTCCCATTCATTCTCCCCTCCCTGTCCAAAATAATCCCACTTCGGATAAAATGAGATCCAGATCCAAACTGCTAATACTTTTGCTATAGCAAATCTCAACCCAAATTCTCCCTGGCTGGCAATTGTTAAATCAAGTTTGGATATATATGCTCTTGTTCAAACAGGAATCATTTTGGTTAAATTATATGGCTTATGTTTTACAGGGAGTCAGACTAGATGGTCACATTGGTTCTTTCTTGGTCTTGGGATCTATGAACCTAACACATAAAAAATATACATATCTCCCCAGTTGCCTGCCCCCTCCTATTCTGACCACCTTTGGGCAGGAAGGGCAGTCGTGTGCATGAAACTTGGGACTGGTTAGTGGCCTGCTGGCCTGGGTGTCTGAGGAATGTGTTTAAAGGGATTCCAAAAGGTCATTTTCATCCCAAATATTAGGTGTTTGTTAAAAGACCAGACTTTTTACAGTGACTCAGAACTAGAGAAATCTTTCCCTGATAGTTTTCCATGTTGATCCAGCACAGATGTGTTTTTAAAGAAGATATACCCTGCAGTGTTTGAATATGTGCATGAGACCCTGAACATTTCAATTGTTTGTTAAACTCCGTCCATTTTATTACTTCACCCTCCCCAAGCCATTTGTCTGTCTTGTCCACCTGTTGCTTCCTGACGCCTCACCTGTGAGCTGTCTGGGGCAGAGGCTAGCTGTCTTCTTAGCTGGCTGTAAACACATAGCATCATGGAGTCCTGATTCTGGAATAAGGTTGCTAGGCATTGCCATGGTACAAATAGTAAATCCTCACAATGAGATGAAGTTGCCGAGTGAAACTGTCCGCTTGATTTTCATTATCCAAGGGCATAGAAGAGGGCCAAAGAGTGACAAGCACTGGGAAATGTTTAAAACTCAATGCTGTTCTAATAATAGGGAGAACTGCAAACAGCACAGGATATTTTGTCTTAAAAAAATGGGACTATATTTTCTTGTCATTTACACAGTTATAAATCAAGTCATTCAATGGCTTGGTGTGAGATAGATCGGAGTTAGACCTCGTGACTTTTAATCCTTTCAATCAAGTTGATCAGGGGGCAGCATGTCCCATAAAAATACCTTCAAATTTTACTAGACCCATGCTGTGCAATTGGGCTGGGGGAGTACAGGGTGCATGCATACATGTGTTTGTGCTTGAGCATGCAGCCGTACGTCTGTCTCTGTCAATGGCTTGGTGTGAGATAGATCGGAGTTAGACCTCGTGACTTTTAATCCTTTCAATCAAGTTGATCAGGGGGCAGCATGTCCCATAAAAATACCTTCAAATTTTACTAGACCCATGCTGTGCAATTGGGCTGGGGGAGTACAGGGTGCATGCATACATGTGTTTGTGCTTGAGCATGCAGCCGTACGTCTGTCTCTGCGCACTGCCCATACGGCAGGGATGCATATCTGTCTGTCTGCACGCCTCGCC